GTTCAATGCATTCTTAGATGTCAGTGTTTCATAGTTATGCAAATATTTGATTCTAAAAACAGTATTACAACTATTAAACGGTTTCTTGTTACGATTTTAAATCTGTATTTACCTCAGAATGATCTCAAAGTAAAAAAGAGGTGCTAAAGTCTGATTTTGTGGCCACTGTGCTTTAAAATGAAATTATTACAAGCTTAATTCAAGTGAAGAAGGATTTTGAAAGTCTGACAGTAATCAGTGTGGAGTACTACTGTAAGGTTAACCCTGTCTGCTTTAAATGTTTAAAAATGATTAACAGTTGAAAACATTTTTTTTTAGGTCACAAGCTAAAGCGAACCTTGCAGAAAGTGTGTTGGTCTTCAGCTAAAGTCTTTGAAGCATGTGGTGCATCACGGGAGGTCTGGGAGGAGAGAGAATGAGGAACAGCGCCAGTGGCTACGAGTAAGCAAGCATCCCCACCGACAAGTGTAAAAAAATAAACCAAGTAGCCGAACCCACATTCCCAACGTAGAGCGTCTAAGCCCAGGAGCTCGATGATGAAGCTGTCTGATCCATGTAGTATCAATCTGATGCTTTCTAATCCTATTGACCTCTTTAGACTATGTAGCATTGCATAACCTTTGTTTGTGTGAAAATCCCTCTGTGTTACAATACGATATCAGCCAGGGAGGGAAAACTTCCATATGCCGCAGTTCTGCCCAGCCCACCCGCAGCCTGGAGGCATGGCTACTGTGCGATGAGTCCTTGTAAACTCTGGCAGCTCTGAGCACATGCTAATGCCATGAAATCAAGGATGCAACCAAATATTCATAATTGGGGGAACCACATTTTAAGAATCAGTCACTGAAAAACCTTTACTAATTGAACTTTTTGAATAATGGTGGTGTTAAGGTCTATTTTGATGCCAGTTTAAGCAGGTTTGGAGCTGGTAAAGCTGGCTGGTGAGGTTTTGCTGGTTAAGTTAGTTAAGAATGCTCTTGGGAAATTAGTTCAAATATATATATATATATATATATATATATATATATATATACTGTATATACTGCAACTTCCCACTTTAATATCTTTCTAAAGTGTCAAATTATGTGGAATAATAGCGGCATCTGGCAACACAGCAGAGGCTGTGCCCGTGCTCTCACTCACAACTAAATATGTACTCTACTGTCATGAACGGCCTTTTCTCAGAAAGTTTGAAAACAAAGGACACTCAATTACACAGACAGCTTCTGTTTGCACAGCCAATTAACTGCTTTGTGCTTTTGCCGCATGTTTCAGAAGGACAGCTGTTCCTCATCTAACCAGGACTGCTAGTTCTAGTCCATCCGGTCCTCTGTTGGCCGGTCTAGAATTCCCTCCACAAGCAACACTGCATATGTCCTGCTCATAAACCTTTAGCACTTCCATGTGGGTGTAAAGTCCCTCTCCTCTCATCCCTACATGACGCCTCCGCTAACCTCTGCGGCCAGTTTACATCTACATTATCAAGTGTCAGTTTGACTACTTCTTTAAACTCCAACCATATTCCCCTTCCATCCTATACCTAATGGGACTTTCAAACTCATTGCCCTTGAAACTCTACGCATCCCACGTTCATAGCACATTTGCATGTGTTGTAAGGTTTTTTTGTTTTTTTTTTTGGCTTGTGGAATCAAAGATGATACCCTAATTTCCTGTCCTAAAGATACTATTGAGTTGCGGAGTATTAGCTATGCCACCATGTGGTAACACTTGGAAAGAAAGCAAACCTAAAATCTGATATGGCCCTAAAAGTAGTACCTGCTAATTACATAATGGGAATTAGGTATTCTGAGCTATCGAAAGGTAGCAGATACAAGCAATTGTTCCTGGGCTTTGTTGTGTTGTGCCAATGCTCCAGTGTTTACGCGCCCTATCGCCGCCTGCCCACCGCCTCAACAGATAAGCAGGCAGGAAACAAGAAATGGATTTATTTGATGCTCCGTAGCAACACGGTCTGGCAAAAGTGGGCCGACAAGTGAGAGACAACCCCTTAATGAGAATCCTCAAAGGGAACAAGGCAGAGGGCAAAGCAATGACTCCCGTGCTAAAGATATTTGGAGAGGAGATATTTCACAGGCTTACACAACTGAGATTCCCCACAAAGAACTGTCTTCAGAGGGTTTCTCGGAAAAAAAAACAAAAAACATAGCGCTATAAAATAGGTTTTTGAGAAGTTCAGCCTGAATCCAGACGTTTAACCTCCTAGCAATTATTCTTTTTTGATATCTAACATGTGTTTGAGAATGATAATTATGTTTGGTCAATGGACACAATTAAATTGGTTCAAAGAAATGATAGTGTGTAGGGGGAGTTGTGTTGAATACAAAACAGTACGATTGCATGCAATGCACTACATGTTCGTTTAAAGCAAAGAGAATATAATTACCCTTACTCTTAAAGTAGAAAATAATCTATAGAATGATAATCAGGATGATGAAATCAACAGACATTCAAGTTAGTTCGCAGTACAAGGTGACCTGAGATTTTTCTTTGAGCTAAAATGAACGCAGAACTTATTCAAAAAGATATTATATTCCCAATCTGTCATTTTGAAATGATAGATCACATTATAAAAATATCCTGTTTGGATTCCAAGGCATAAGTTTTTGGTTGCTTAGCAGACATCAAATTGACTTATAGGATAGAGGAAGTTTCCCTGTATCAACACTGGCGCTGTGTTCCTATCTCAAAGATATTAATATCATTTTTTACAATTTTGTCATTGCTTATAAGATTATAGGTTATTATCTGAAAATATATAAGCATGTTTGCTTTAAGCAGAAAATGTGCAGCCAAATTTATAACTGCATGTCATGTTATCTGAACTAAACCAGTCCTAATGGGCATTTCTTCTCCTCTTTTGAACGCAACAGCCTTTCGCTTTCTATTCTACTGAACACTGTGGTATCACAGGCTTTGACATCGGAGTAAATGTAAAATTCATGGATCTGGTTTGCCCAGAGCGTGTGGATTAAGCTACAGGGGTAGTTAGTCAGGTCAGTGGAAGAAAGAGAAATTGCTTTTTCCGACCTCAGTGCATTTTGGGAGTCACGACGACGTAATGAAAGTCAAAGAAGAGCATTGATGTGTTCTCCGAGTTTTGTTTGTTTGCCTGTTTGTGCATTCTGAACCTACTTTTTTCTTATGTTTCTTTCATTGTTGCAGCTGTCGCATGACAGCGGACATCTATAGGGCATTGCTCATAGTTGCGACATGAAGAAATATATTTTCGTTTGATGTCAAAGCCCATAACAACACGCCTTGGGGTGTAAAAAAGATTCTGTAAGAAAACAACCACATCTTCCTTTTTCCTGTGAAAAACAGAGTAATGACTGAACTGATTGTAAGTAGAAAAATAAACAGCCCTGCTATTTTCTCATCACATAAAGCAAATTGTATTCGATATTTGACTTGATATTCGTAGCCAGTTCATCTATAGATTTTTTTTTTTCCTCACACAATCTCATATAATCCAATGTGACAGAAACAAGCTTTTAAGAGAACCTTGTTCTCTTCGCATTCTGTCACACGCTGCCTTCAAGTCATGAAGAAATGATCATGTTTGAGATGAGCGCACATGTACACCACCAAAATGTCCTAAATAGCAGTCGGAAACACTGGATTATCTTTGAGCCCGGGGTTTTGTAGGAGTGGGAGTGGTGACGACTGAAGGAACGGATGAATCAGAGTTAGGGCCCAAAAAAAGGTCTTGAGACATTATCTTGAACACCACATTTTTTTGTGGTATGTGCAAAACACAGCAAAAGATGCGACACGCAGACACAAAGATCAAAGATGTTCATCTAGAGCAGGGTTCCTCAAATCTTCCCCTGGAGGGCCAATGCGCTGCAGAGTTTAGCTCCAACCCTGATCAAACTCCCCTACCTATGATTTTCTAATGATCCTGAAGACATTGATTAGCATGCTCAGGTGTGTTTGATTAGGGTTAGAGCTAAACTCTGCAGGAAAGTGGATCTCGTGCATGGGCCAGATTTGAGGATCCCTGATCTAGAGCATGTTTATATAGCAAAACAACTATGGAAAACAGAAATGCAGTCTGTATTGGTCTTAAAAATATGTTGCACGGCTCAACAGTGTGAGCATTCCACTCGCATTTACAAATAAAAGTAGATGTGTGCAAACAAAAATTCCTGGGAGGTCTATAAAAAGTCTTAAATGGTCTAAAATAGTCTAAAAGGTCTTAATATTTTATTACGTTGTAAATTTGGGATGGAATAAAAGGAATCATGAAACAGCCTATAATGTGATTATTAAACTTAAAAAGGTCTCATGAAAATGCATATCAACAGCACAATTTTTTATTTAACTTTTTTTTAAAACTGACTTTGGTGTGCATGCCTTCCACACTGTTTGACGTGCATATAATATGCATTTTGGCATACATATAATATGCACCTACCCCACATCCCTAAACCTACCAATTGCACAGAGCCGATCCTCCCTATACGCAAAATATGCAAGCTGCGTAGGGCCCCCGAAACACCAGAGGACCCCCTTGCTCTCAAAGAAGATTTAATTTTAGTTTTGTTTTTGAATTTGGCCAGCGGTTATGAAAACATGAATGATCGCCCTTTCTGTGTAAAAATCAGTCAAATCATGTAATGTGAATGTCGTACAGTCTCTTGCTCGAGAGTAAAAAAAATGAGTTGAAAGCGCACCGAGCTGCAGAAGAGATACTGTTTTATGTGCTGGACAGGAATGTCTTATTGTGTCCTTTAGTAAAGACAAAAACATTATTTTATGCTTTTTCATTGCGGCTCTAAAGCTGCTGAATTGATCACCTTAAGAAAAAAATAAAAAATAAAAAATAAAAAAACGTAAGTGTTGTAATTGAATTTGACCATCTGTTACGTTTCCTCAGGTGCCAGGATTCAGTATGAAAGGATAGGAAATGATGTCACTATGCAGTGCGGCTCGCTGGACAACGACGCCTCGGTAACATGGAAGGTGAACGGTACGGACGTGAAGGCCCGTCGGCGGGAAGAAGGACCGCGGCTCATCCTGATGGAAGTGAACATGAGTAGTAACGGCCTGTACAGCTGCTTCCAGAACCCGGATGGCCAGCGCCGCGACCAGATCAATCTCCGCGTCGGACGTAAGTAGTGTCTGTTTATCCCGCTTTCCTCTTCCTCGTATTCACTACATCCTTCCCAGAAGTCGGAATAACCCTGCACAGTGTTTACCCCGACACTTATTTTTCTAAACAAGCACTGCGCTCGTTTCCGCCACTTGCTGCCCGGTCATCTCTTAGAGGCCGATGACCTCTTGTTTGGATGTCTTCTCTGTGTATTTGAAGAGTCTAATTATTAACAACAAACGTCATTGTTTGACCCTGACCGCTCCTCGGTTCTCCTCGGGCCCCTGATCCCAAGCCTTGTCTTCTCCAGCATACAGCTGCTTCTAACTGTGTGGGAGGCACTGGGGTGCAAGTTTTATGTCTTATCTATTTGTCAACTGGATTAATTTGTCATGCTAGATCTTTTTTTATGAGGACACACAACACGATGGGAGAGGAGATGGTAGACGTCCAGATGTGCGCAATACAACATGGTCCCCCTGGCTTCTGAGTGGCCTCCAAAAAACAATTAAATCACAAAAAGTTTGAGCATTCAAAATAAGTCAATTGTAAATCAGACAGCAGTCGAATACTGAAATGAGACTGTGCTACTGGTACTGTAGAAAGACTGCTATCGTTACCAGGGCTCAGAAATAAGAGTTTTTGGCCAGTTTACAAATCAGTTACGCACCCTTTCAGGCCTGTGTTGACACTGACATTGACACTTAAAATCTTACATTTGTTGTTCTTAAATATACATACATACATATTTATTTATTTATTTATTTTCCCGTTGTTGTTTGGTTTAATTTTGTTTGGTTAAATGTTTTCCAAAATTATACAAAGTATGAATTTTTTTTTTCGGAACTGTATAAATTTCTTTTTTTGTTTTTGGAACTGTATAATTTTCAGCTTTATTATTATTATTATTATTATTATTATTATTATTGTTATTATTATTATTATTATTGTTGTTGTTGTTGTTGTTGTTGTTGTTGTTGTTGTTGTTGTTGTTGTTGTTGTTGTTGTTGTTGTTGTTGTTGTTGTTGTTGTTGCTATTATTATTATATTGGAATATTTTTGGAATTCCAGTATTTATTTATTTATTTATCTACGTAAAGAAATGTTTTTGTAAAGAAAACCTAATGTTTTGATCTCTGATTACATTTTATTATTTTAGTATAAACTTGGTACTGAATACCAAAAATAAATAAAATAAATTAATTAATTAAATTAAATATAAAAAATGTCAAATATCTGATATAGCTGCATATTAAACATCAAATGTCTTCTGCACTGCATGAACATGCATAACAAAGGTGGGCGACGTGGTTTATGTGATCTTACCCTTAAATTATTTCCCTCAACTCTCTGATAACCCCAAAGCTAAATTATGAACTGCTACACTGCAAAGCACCGTAATCAATATTATGTGACAAGATGCTACCCGTAACGTCGCCTGACAGCAATTTCATTGACTAATCAAATTAGACGAATGAAGAGGGGAAAAGTGGAGATGAGTCCTCTTTTGAGAACATGACGAGGAATGTGCTTCATCACTCGTCTCTGCATGCTTCCACGGCTCCCGAAAATAACTTGTACGAAATGTAAGCGAGATCACATGATTACTAAAAATGGTCTAGTTCATCTAAAGGAAATTCATTTTACAAGCTTTAATAATGCATGGTTTCAAGAGCATGCAGATTTTCTTGGCAAAAACTACAGCAAATTTCTACTTTGTTTCTTTTATTCTGTCTCTGCAAGCTAAATGTCTTTAATATCTTGATTGTTTCTCGTAAGATAAAATAGAGAGCAAATTAAAGGGATAGGGATAGTCGTTCCAAGCCCGAATCACTTTCACACAGGGTTGAAAAGATGCGATGGTGAGTAAATGATGACAGAATTTACATCCCTTTAAGACATTAATCCTACACGTCTCCTCTGTTTACTTCTGTAATTAACATCTGTTCCAGGTGATCTAAACACAAGCGATCAGCCAAGACAGATTGCCATTTACACCTAAATGCATCTCCTGTGACCTCCAATTTTGTAACCACTTACTTCACCTGCTACATCAGTGATGATGTCGATGAAGCACAACAAGTTTAAAAAGTCAGCACAGTTTAGCAGATGGTCCCGTTTTAGAATCTTTTAACCAAGCGAAGGTGAGAACAGTATTTCATTGTGTGACTTTGCTGCAAATAAATCTGATTGTGAGCTTAGCCTGACGGGCTGGTGGCCCTATGGCCGCAGTTTCTTTCTCACAGCGGCTGGGTCATGGGCAAGCCAGCTCAGCTAACAAGATAAGTTCTGCAGCTAAGTGCCTGAATGAGAATGGCATGGTCCCAATCCCACAGACAGGGAGAGGCCCCTCCGCAAGTACGTCAAATGCTCTGCCTATCTGTGACAGGAATGCTTGCCAGGAATTAGAGGGGAAAAATCGGGTCTGGCCATTTACAGGGATTCCTGTAGTTCCTCTAAACAATCTTTAGTGGTCTGTCATAACCAAAACAGCTTGTAGGTCAACTTTCACAGACAAACCATAGGAAATAAGTTATGGTTTCCTTGATAATTATGATGGTTTTGTTTGTGCCCACGGATGATTCAAGATAGCAGGATCCAGTTGCAGTGAACGTCTTTGTTTCTTTCTAGTATTTCTTCAGCATTGTACTAGGTAGCCTCACTCCCAGTGAAATCCTAATGGTTCCAGTGTATAAATACCAACTATGTTCTCAAGGTCCATGCATTTCTGGTTTCAGTGTGGACTGGTAGCTGGAAACAGGACATTTTAAGAAATTCTACGAAGAGTGAAGAGGAGTCGAATCAGTAAACATCGCAAACTGGACTCAAATCTATTTCACCCACACAAGCACCATGGCTCAACTTCTCAAGCGTATTTACATTAATTATCGTGACTTAATTGAGTTTCCAAAAGGCCCCTGGATTCATCTTTGTGGGCATCTTACCCACAAATAGCAAGACCGGCTTGTTTATGTTAAAGTCGTGTAGAAATGGAAATAGCGACAAATCTTTACGTCTGTATTATGACCAGTCCTGGGTAAAATGTAATCCATTACTGATTCCAAATTACATGACAAAAATTGTAGTTAGTAACACAATCTGTTACATTTTACAGTTTAGATAATATAATCAGACTACTTTTAGATACAAATTTAAAAATACAAAGAGAAAAAATATATACAGTATATATATATATATATATATATATATATATAATTCCATTCATTGTAATTAAC